CCTCGCATGGGCCAGTAGGCCTTCTGCAGTGTTCCTTCGTTCTTATGTTCTTCTTATGTTAACTCCAGGTAGATCTGGTCACAATCATGAACAAGTTACGAAGGTAATGAACTCCAGGTAGATCTGGTCACAATCATGAACAAGTTACAAAGGTAATGAACTCCAGGTAGATCTGGTCACAATCCAAACGTTTCCTCAAAAAAAGGTACCCAAGTGTTAGCATGTATCGAATTTATTTAACAGAAAAAATGAACATGGGGGCCGTTTTCTGGCTCTTATAAAACCCAACAAAATTTCTTGTTGATAACCGCAGTTTTTTTTTTTTTTTTCATCGCAACAATACTCTGGTGAAACTTTATTAAAGACCATCACCGGCACATCATTTTTAAGCCACAGTCTGGAGCTTCATTAATCCACGTGTTTGGGGGCTTCACTATAAACCAAGGTTGGAGCTTTCCCATCACCTCAGAGAAGCTTAAAAATTGACCCCATTGGAGGGGCTTCATTATAAACCCCCACTGGTGGATGAGCTTCACTAAGACCACACTAGTGGGAGGGGCTTTACTAAGACCACACTGGTGGGGGTACTTAACTAAGACCCCACTGGTAGATGAGCTTCACTAAGACACACTGGTGGATAGCTTCACTAAATACAAGGTGGATGAGCTTTTTTAAGACCACATGGAGGAGCTTCATAAGCCCCCACTGGGGGATGAGCTTGACTAAGACCACACTGGGAAAGGGGGCTTCATAAGCCACATGGAGGGGCTTACTAAAACCAATGGGGGAGCTTCATAAGACCCCTGGAGGGGACTTCATAAGACACACTGGAGGGGCTTCCAAGCCACACTGCGGGGGCTTCACTAAGACCCACTGGGGAGCTTCACAAAGACCACACTGAGGATCTTCACTTAACCAACGGGGGAGCTTCACTAAGACCATGCCAAGGGGAGCTTTACTAAAACCACACTGCAGGAGCTTCCAAGACCACCCCGGGGGAGCTTCACTAAACCACACGGGAGGAGCTTCCTAAGACCACACGGAGGGTTTCACTAAGCCCACACTGGGGGAGTTTCACTAAGATCACACTGGGGGAGCTTCACTAAGCCCACACGGAGGAGCTTCACAAGCCCACACAGTAGGAACTTCACTAAAAACCACACGGAGGAGCTTCACTAAGACCACACCAGGGGAGGAGTTCACTAAAGCTCACGGAAGGGGAGCTTCACAAAGATCTCCCGGAAAAGGAGCTTCACTAAAACCACACTGGGGAGTTTCACTAAAACCACACGGAGGGCTTCACAAAGACCTTCCAGAAGGTTTACTAAGCCAACCCCAGAAGAGTTTCACAAGCCCCACCTGGAGGAGCTTCACAAAAGCCCACTGGGGAGCTTCACTAAGACCACTGGAGAGCTTCACTAAGACCACATGGGGGGTTTCACTAAGCCACTGGGGGAGCTTCACTAAGACCACACGGGAGGAGTTCACTAAGACCACGCCAAAAAGCTTCACTAAACCACGCCAAAAAAGCTTCATAAGACCACATGGTAGGAGTTTTGCTAGACCACACTGGAAGAGCTTCACTAAACCATGCCAGAAGAGCTTCCTAAGCCCACAGGGGAGGAGGAGCTTCCTAAGACCACACTGGGGGGAGGATCTTCACAAAAGCCCACACGGGGAGGAGCTTCACTAAGGCCACAGTGGAGGGGGGTTTTCACAAGACCCCCCTGGAGGAGGGTTTCACTAAGACCACACTGGAGGGGGATCTTCACTAAGAACCACGGGAGGGGGAGTTCACAAGGCCCCAGTGGAGGGGGGTTTCACAAAGACCACACGGAGGAGGACTTCACTAAGACCACACTGGAGAGGATCTTCACAAAGACCCACTGGAGGGGAGCTTCACTAAGGCCACAGTGGGAGGGTTTCACAAAGACCACACGGGGGGGAGCCAAAAGACCACACGGAGGGGCTTCGCTAAGACCACATGTGAGACTTCGCTAAGACCACACGGGAGGGGGGAGCTTCACAAGACAAAAGGAGGGGCCCCCCTTCACAAAAGACCACACTGGGGAGGAGCTTCACAAAGACCACCTGGAGAAGGAGCTTCACTAAGACCACACCGACGGGGACTTCACAAAGCCTTGGGGGAAAGGGCTTCAACAAAGCCCCACACTGGAAGGGAGCTTCACTAAACTACATGGAGGAGGAGCTTAAAAAACAAAGACCACACGGGATGAGGGGGGCTTCAAAAGACCACACAGAATGAGGGTTTCATAAGCCACACGGGGAGGGGACTTCACAAAAACCCACACGGGAGGAGGAGCTTCACTAAGACCCAGGGGAGGGGGAGCTTCATAGACCACACTGGGAGGAGCTTCACAAGACCCACAGAGTGAAGCTTCACAAAGACCATCCCTATGACAGTGAGGGGGATAGAGTGCTCTATGGCACCCTCTGCGGGGCTGAGAAGGAGTTTAATCCAGTTTTCATCATCCATACCTTCAAGGAAAGGTGCCTGGATAATGGTAAATGCTCTTGATCCAAAGAATTGCAGCTTCTATTCCTTTCCTTGGATCAAACGGACTACCTCCCATTTCCATAACACATGCCTTTGGGGTTTAGTGCTCATCACAATTAGAATTATGACAGTAAAGTTAATGTTTATTCCTGGATCCCACTTCTATATGACTTTTTTGAGCGAAATTGTCGAAATCAGTGTGGCTGTGCACTTGAGTTAATTTTTATTTGTGGGAATGCTTTATAAAGTACAGTAATGTAATCCAACCAAACCCAAACATAACCTAACTGATAATAATAAATAATGGTTGAAGTTTTTTATAATAATAATAATAATAATAATAATAATAATAATAATAATAATAATATTAATAATATTAATAATAAAAATAATAATAAAAATAATAATAATATGGTTTAGGGCAACAGCACATAATACATGTATTGCTTTGAGGAAGTGGTGAAAGATAGAGCTTGGTAGTGGTGTTGGGGTGGTGAGGCTGTGACCAACGACCCAATCGCCCAATGACAGGTTGCTGGGTAACTGTCATTGTTATTATTGTGTTATCATGGTTAATAATTTGAGACACAAGAATTCCCATAAGTGATAAGCGTTTTTTTCATGGATATGTTGCGAATAGTAAAGCGGGGCTCTACTGTAATAGCAAATGTGTTACCTCTTATTTTGGGTCAGTGGGAGATGGCCAGCATGTTACAAAAAGATAGTAAAGTGATCATTTGTCCTCTCAAACAGATATTTTAGTGATTCTTGTGGGTTATGATTGAGGGTATTATGAGGCAAGAATACATAATGTTTATCAAGCCTAACACTTGGGGTAGTTATTTGTTTGACGAGGGTATATGTTGAAACCACTGGCAATTATTAGGTGATTTATGTTGAGTTTTTTATTGTATTTCTTAGTGTATCATTGATGCTTTGTATGTTTGTGTGATATATTCTGTACATTGCCCCATTGGTTGTTGGATCAGTAGTAATGATTTTAAGTTGTACAACTATGTACTCATAATATTCATCACTGCTGTTTATAAAATAGTCATTTAATAGAATTTGCTAGCATAGTAAATAACTGTACAGTTCCTCCACCTCTTTTGTTTGGTGTACAGTTGTGGATAGCTGCAGACCCAGGTGTGTTGCACACATTAGTGAAGAGTAAGGTGATGAGGGTATCAAATGATTTAGATAAAGAAAAATTGGATATCATATTGGGGAGGAGGAGTATGGAAGAAGTGAATGTTTTCAGATACAGTGGACCCCCGGTTAACGAACTTTTTTCATTCCAGTAGTATGTTCAGGTGCCAGTACTGACCGAATTTTTTCCCATAAGGAATATTGTGAAGTAGATTAGTCCATTTCAGACCCCCAAACATACACGTACAAACGCACTTACATAAATACACTTACATAATTGGTCGCATTTGGAGGTGATCGTTAAGCGGGGGTCCACTGTCTGTACTTGGGAGTTGATGTGTCGGCGGATGGATTTATGAAGGATGAGGTTAATCATAGAATTGATGAGGGAAAAAAGGTGAATGGTGCGTTGAGGTATATGTGAAGACAAAAAACGTCATCTATGGAGGCAAAGAAGGGAATGTATGAAAGTATAGTAGTACCAACACTCTTATATGGGTGTGAAGCTTGGGTTGTGAATGCAGCAGCGAGGAGGCGGTTGCAGGCAGTGGAGATGTCCTGTCTAAGGGCAATGTGTGGTGTAAATATTAGGCAGAAAATTCGGAGTGTGGAAATTAGGAGAAGGTGTGGAGTTAATAAAAGTATTAGTCAGAGGGCTGAAGAGAGGTTGTTGAGGTGGTTTGGTCATTTAGAGAGAATGGATCAAAGTAGAATGACATGGAGAGCATTTAAATCTCTAGGGGAGGGAAGGCAGGGTAGGGGTTGTCCTTGAAAAGGTTGGAAGGAAGGGGTAAGGGAGGTTTTGTGGGCGAGGGGCTTGGACTTCCAGCAGGCATGTGTGAGCGTACTCGATAGGAGTGAATGGAGACGAATGGTATTTGGGACCTGACGATCTGTTGGAGTGTGAGCAGGGTAATATTTAGTGAAGGGATTCAGAGAAACCAGTTATTTTTATATAGCCGGACTTGAGTCCTGGAAATGGGAAGTACAGTGCCTGCACTCTAAAGGAGGGGTTTCGGGATACATGTATTAGCAGTTTGGAGGGATATGTTGTGTATCTTTATACGTATATGCTTCTAAACTGTTGTGTTCTGAGCACCTCTGCAAAAACAGTGATTATGTGTGAGTGAGGTGAAAGTGTTGAATGATGATGAAAGTATTTTCTTTTTGGGGATTTTCTTTCTTTTTGGGTCACCCTGCCTCGGTGGGAGATGGCCGACTTGTTAAAAAAAAAAAAAATTGTTTTAATGAATCTCTCTCTCTCTCTCTCTTAGTGTAAGATTGTGGTACTTAATGATTCAAACAATGCTGTTATCATCGTGTTTGCTCAGAGATGAGGATGTGGATATTCAAGGCAGATAGTGGGATGACAATCAGCAGTATGTTGTCACATGTACTGAAATAGTGATCATTATCATGATTATGATCATTATAATGAATCATAATCATTATAATGATCATGATGCTCACTGTTATCATTATTATTTTCATGTAGAAACACTCAACCTGTATTGGTCTTACAACACTTGAGAATTAGGAGGTAGTGAGGTTTGATTCAAGAAAAAATGAGGGTAGTTCCAATTCTTCAGATCAAGAGCCCTTTACTAACATCAAGACACCCTCTTGAAGATATACAGTACTGGAGTGGAATTCAGAATTCTTGGGTTTACTGAACAGCAAAATATCTGCTTAAAATACTGAATAAGTAATCTGAACATCTTAATTCCTTGAACACTAGTTCAAGTGTCAGATGGGTCGTTCTGCATGCACACACTGTAGAACTATCTGATGATAGTTTTTTTTTAATAATCTTGCAATAATTTTTCCTTAACCTCGACATTTAATTACAGATTATTTGATCATTATCATCCTAGTGAATTAAATTAGCTAGTTTTTTAATCTGTATAATGTAGTGTAGGATTTTGGTATAAGAAAGTAAATTTAAACCTGTTAAGGAATTTTTGGAATTTGTGTCAGTACCTGACCAATTAGGCAATGGAAAGTCAGTACCTGACCAACCGGGCTGTGGTTCGTACGCAAATTTGCGTGCAGCCAGCAGTAACAACCTGGTTGATCAGACCCTGATCCACCACGAGGCCTGGTCTCAGACTGAGCCGCAGGGGCGTTGACCCCCGAAACCCTCTCCAGGTAAACTCCAGGCACTCTGTGCCCTCTTTTACCTTACCAGAGGGCCAATGTTTTGGCATTACAGTGGACCCCCGCATAGCGAACTTAATCCGTGCAAGAGGGCTGGCCGTTATGCGAAATGTTCGCTATGCGAATTAATTTTCCCCATAAGAAATAATGGAAATAAAATTAATCCGTGCAAGACACCCAAAAGTATGAAAAAAAAATTTTTTTACCACAAAAAAATGTTAATTTTAGTACACACAAACTGAAAAAGGCATGCACAATTACATGACACTTACTTTTATTGAAGATCTGGTGATGATTGATGGGATGGGAGGAGGGGAGAGAGAGTGTTAGTGTTTAGAAGGGGAATCCCCTTCCATTAGGACTTGAGGTAGCAAGTCCTTTTCTGGGGTTACTTCCCTTCTTCTTTTAATGCCACTAGGACCAGCTTCAGAGTCACTGGACTTCTTCGCACAACATATCTGTCCATAGTGGCCTGTACCTCTCGTTCCTTTTTGATTTGTCTAAAGTGGTTCACAACAGGTCATTGTTAAAAAAATTTTGGGACAAAAGAAAAACGTTTAAAATTTTAATAAAAAACTCAATCCAAAAATTTCCCCCCTTTTTTTCCCCCTCCCCCCACCCAATTTTTTTTTTTTCCAAAACCAACCACAAATAATTTTTTTTCAACCCAAAATTAAATACAAACCCCAAAGGGTGGTTTTGGAAAGAAAAAAAAAACCAAGAAAAGGTCAGTCCACAAAAAGGAAAAAACCCCAACCCGGGGCCCCAAAGGACGCATCCCGGTTTGACCCCCTACCAACGGGCCCCAAACCCCCCACTTCCCCCCCAAACCCTCCCAAACCCGGCCCCCCCCCCCTTTTTTTCCTTCCGGGGCTTTTTTTCTTCGTCCCCCCCGTTTTAAACAACCCGTAAACGGGTTTCGAAAGTTCCTTCAAAAACCCAAAAAAATTGGAAAAAAAAAAAAAAAAAGGGGGAAAAAAAAAAAAAATTTTTTTAAAAAAAAAAGAAAGTACCACAAACAAAAAAACACAAAACAACAACTTTTAAAAAAAAAAAAAAAAATTTTTTTTTGGGGGAAACCCCTTTCCTTCGGGGTCCCTTTTTTTGGGGTTCCCCCTTTTTTTTTTAAAAGCCCAGGCCCAAAAAACTTCTTTCGCACAACAATTCCATTCCCTTCCCTCCTTCCTTTTGTTTTGTCTAAGGGTTCCCAAAAGTGTCATTGTAACACACCACCGGGTTGCAATAGCTTGTGAGGGTGTTTCTCAAAAAAACCCATTTTGCAACTTTTCCTTATCTTTGAAGTAGGCAATTCCTTCAATTTCTCTCTCCCCTCCTTTAACATTTTCCCCGGGTCTGGCCTTTGCTCTTAAGTTGATCATCAGTCTCAGTGGTTAGTTTTTTTGTCCTCCTCCACCAACTCTTCCACACCCTCCCCACTAACCTCCAACCCCAAGGACTTCCCCAATTCCACAATTGATTCCTCAACTGGTATACTACTCCTCTCAGGGTTAGCCTCAAACCCTTCAAAATCCCTTTTGTCTACACATTTGGCCACAGTTTCTTCCAAGCAGAGTTCAAGGTTCTCTTATCACTCCCTCCCAAGCCTACCTAAAAGGGTTTTTACACAATTGAGGATATTAAAGTGACCCTTCCAAAACTTTTTTTAGAGTCAATCGAGTGTCCTGTGGTCCCCTTTCAAAGCACTTTTGGAAACAGAGTTTTTGTGTACAGTTTCTTTGAAGTTGGAAATGACCGCTGGTCCATGGGCCGAGGAGAGAGTGGTATTAGGAGGCAAAAACTTCACCTTAATGAAGCTCATGTCCCCATAAAGTCGCTCTGCCACGTCTGTAGGATGACCAGGGGCATTTTTCTAACACCAGGAGGCACTAAGGGTCTAATTTCTTTTCAGTTAGGAAAATCTTTCACATTGGGGGCAAAGCATGGTGTAACCAGTTATAGAAAAATTCCCTAGTGACCCATGCCTTACTGTTTGCCCTCCACAGCACACACAAATTATCCTTGAGGACATTCTTTTGCCTGAACGCTCTGGGAGTTTCAGAGTGAAACACTAATAAAGGCTTAACTTTGCAATCACCACTAGCATTGGCACACATCAACAAAGTAAGCCTGTCTTTCATAGGCTTTGTCCTGGGAGTGCCTTTTCCTCCTGAGTAATGTAGGTCCTGCTTGGCATTTTCTTCCAGAACAGGCCTGTTTCACACAAATAAACACTTGTTCAGGTTCCAGTCCTTCAGTTTCTATGTACTCCTTGAATTCATGCACAATATTTTTCAGCCGCTTTGTGGTCCGAACTGGCAGCCTCACCATGCCGTATCACACTATGGATGCCACTACGCTTCTTAAATCTCTCAAACCAACCTTTGCTGGCCTTAAATTCACTCACATCATCACTAGTTGCAGGCATTTTTTAATTAAATCGTCATGCAACTTCCTAGCCTTTTCACATATGATCGCTTGAGAGACGCTATCTCCTGCTAGCTGTTTTTCATTTATCCACACCAATAAGAGTCTCTCAACATCTTCCATCACTTGCGATCTTTGTTTCGAAAACACAGTTAAACCTTTGGCAACAACAGCTTCCTTGATTGCCGTTTTCTTGCCCACAATAGAAGAGATGGTTGATTTTGGTTTCTTGTACAACCTGACCAGGTCGGTGATACGTACTCCACTTTCATACTTATCAATGATCTCTTTCTTCATTTCAATGGGTATATTCTTACCCTTTGAGGTGTAGGGTTGGCATCTAGAAGCTTTCTTGGGCCCCATGGTCACTTATTTTCCAGAAACAGCACCGAAAACACTGTAATAATACGAAATATTCCGAGTGTATGCTTGAATGTTACCGCGGAGGCTGGCTGGTAAACAATGGGACGGGCGGCACATGTGAGGCTGGCTGAGGGCGCACATTGGACGCGTCTCGGACGAAGGCCGCTGAGCGGGTTTTTGTCCACTATGTGGGGCAAAATTTTAGCGAACAAAGCGTCCGCTATGCGGATTGTTCGCTATGCAAGGCGTTCGCTATGCGGGGGTCCACTGTATTTGGCTAATACACTATTTAAATTTTTATTACTTTTATCACTAAGTAGGCACAAAGGAATACTTTTAAGTTGATGTAGATCTATATAACAGGAAAAGCATTCATTTCTTTATCCTTGATTTTCTCTCGTGTCCTTGAAATGCTTACGAATTTATTTTGGCCATCAGCATGGCTACTATGGACAATGTCTATGCATCTATTTATTTACTATTGGTTTTTCTTTTTTTGCAGAAGACATACGCTCTCGTAAGACTCCAAGAATTGAAGATCAGTTTGCTCGAGATAAACAAGGTCGTAGAAGGTTAGATCTGTAAATTCTCATTAAATGTAAAGTACAGGAAGGCCTCGCTTTTACAACAGCTTAGGTTCTGGGCTAATGCTGTGACGGGAAAAAGGCTGTAAAGTGAATCATAGCCTTTTTTTTACTTTCAAATGCATATAGAAACCTGATAACATTCTTGCACTATCATATATTAACTCTTTCGCTGTCCACACCCCCGATCTGAAACTCCAAAAATTTAAAAAAAAAATTTTTGTTATTTTTTCTTATGAAATGGTAGAGAATCTTTTTCTGAAGGTAATAAAAGAAAAAGTATGAAATTTGATGGAAAATTGATGAAATTACGCTTTCGTGAATTTTTCTGTGTCCCATTTTGAGCCCTATTTTAGGCCAGTTACATTGTTCCAGTCAAACTGATGGTTAGGTATTTTGCAAGTACTGTCTTTCATTTCATTGATTGTGCACAAGAAATCACCTGATCAACTATTTCAACTACCCAATAAAGTGATCAGAAATTGGTAATTTGCCCAATTTCCCACAAATTTCAAAATGTTCCAATATCAAAATAGAGTCCAGAATACACACTACAGGCATTCCTGGAACTAAAATAATATTTCCTCTGTTCATTAGTTATGTTTCCAGGCTTTACACATTTATTCCATTTTGTTTTTTTATTCACACAAAAGAATTTTTATTCACACAAAAAATAGATTTACTGTTATGCAATATTGTAATAATTGTATAAATAATATTAGCACATTCGTGAGTGCATATCAGACCTACCAGCTGGACATGTATTGGATAAGTGACATGATTTGTTTACTCTTGAATATCAGCAGAAATCGAACATTTCCGCTAATTTGAGCTTAATTTCAGGCTATTTTCAGCCCTGAAACCAATCATAATCTTCTCTATTTCTGTAATATATCTTCCATTCTGTCAAATGAGACCAAGAAACCAAGAATACAACCATAAAAATTAGATGAAAATGCACTGCAAAGTTGCTGTTTTAAACAAAAAACACAGTTGTAGTTTTTTCATTATGCTCTGTGTGCTGCAGGATTTTATTTTATATGGTGCACACTTACCACATAGACCCATTCTCTCATATCTAGGCCCAAATTTACTGCTCACAGCTTATCTGAGTGAGCTGAGCTATGGCACTGATGCTAGCTTCAAAGCCATAGAACTATGGCACCAACCCAGAAAGAGTTAAAATAGATGGATGGTTTTTATAGTTTTATTTTCCATTTCTTGGTATCATTTGATAGAATGAGAGACATATTACTGAAACTGAGATGAATTTGATTGGATTCAGGTCTGGAAGTATAGCTTGAAATTGAGCTCAGAGTAGCGGAAATATTTAAGAACATAAGAACGTAAGAAAGGAGGAACACTGCAGCAGGCCTGTTGGCCCATACTAGGCAGGTCCTTTACAATCCATCCCACTAACAAAACATTTGCCCAACCCAATTTTCAAAGCTACCTAAGAAATAAGCTCTGATAACTCTATCCACTCATATGCAAGTCCCACTCAAATCCAACCCCTCTCACTCATGTATTTATCCAACCTAAATTTGAAACTACCCAAGGTTTTAGCCTCAGTAACCCAACTAGGTAGACTGTTCCACTCATCTACTACCCTATTTCCAAACCAATACTTTCTACATCCTTTCTAAATCTAAACTTGTCTAATTTGAATCCATTACTGCGGGTTCTCTCTTGGAGAGATATCCTCAAGACCTTATTAATATCCCTTTTATTAATACCCATCTTCCACTTGTACACTTCGACCATGTCTCCCCTCATTCTTTGTGTTACAAATGAATGTAATTTGATTTTTGTGATATTTCAGAGGACGAATAAAGCCCACTACAACCCCCAATATGTTTCATGGGTTTTTATTAGTTCTGATGCAATTATTGGGATGCTGTAAACCATGAACAATCTTTCCTGGTTATATTTTATTATCCGAGAAATAGAGTAAATCCTCTATTTTTTGTGTGAATAAGAATTCAAAATGGAAAGCACGTGTAATATAGGTGAGGGCTAGGGACATGACAAATGAACTGAGGAAATGTTGTTTTAGTGCCAGGAATGTCTACACTGTTTATTATGGACTCTTATTTTTATACTGGCATTTTTTAATGTGTGTGAAATTGGCTAAATTACTAAATCCAGAACACTTTACTGGGTAGTTGAAATAGTTGAATGGGTAGTTTCTTGTACTCAGTTGATAGAAATAGCTAAGAATTTCGTTGATTGGAACAATGGAATTGGCTTAAATTGCTGGAATGTAAATTGTGCTGAGACTGCTAAATTTGCGCCAGTGTAATTCTGTAAGCTTTTTATCAAATTTCATGCTTTTGGTGTCATTACCTTTGGAAAACAATTCTCTACCATTTCATAAGAACTTTTTTTTTTTTTTTGTGTGTGTGAAAATTTTTTGACCTTGAGAACTAGTTTCAGATCAAGGGTCTGGGCCACATATGGACAAATATTGACCACATATTTGTCCATATGTGGTCAAGGAGAGGTGCAACACTGTACAGTCATCCTGTCATATGAATGTGTGTTGGAAGCCCATTCAATATTTTATACTTTGGCAGGATTGCTGGTCTTTTCTTTGTCTCTCAAACATGTATGATAACAGATAAATTTTACAAACATCTGTTTACTTTCAGTATACCTTATCCTTATTTTCCTTTGTGTTTCTTGATATAATGGTACCTCAGTGTAATGGGCTAATGGGGAAAAAAAGGGTGTCTGCTTAAATGAAAACCCATTGTATTGAAATAACTAAGACCTGCATCAGGAAACACTTGTCCATTTTGAGAGAGAGAGAGTGAGAGAGAGAGAGTGTGTAAGAGAGAGAGTGTGTAAGAGAGAGAGTGTGTAAGAGAGAGAGTGTGTAAGAGAGAGAGTGTGTAAGAGAGAGAGTGTGTAAGAGAGAGAGTGTGTAAGAGAGAGAGTGTGTAAGAGAGAGAGTGTGTAAGAGAGAGAGTGTGTAAGAGAGAGAGTGTGTAAGAGAGAGAGTGTGTAAGAGAGAGAGTGTGTAAGAGAGAGTGAGAGTGAGAGTGTGAGAGTAAGAGTGTGAGAGTGAGGGTGAGTGAGAGTGAGTGAGAGTGTGAGAGAGTGTGAGTGAGTGAGTGAGAGAGTGAGAGTGAGAGTGAGTGTGTGTGTGTGTGTGTGTGTGTGTGTGTGTGTGTGTGTGTGTGTGTGTGTGTGTGTGTGTGTGTGTGTGTGTGTGTGTGTGTGTGTGTGTGTGTGTACTCACCTACTTCTGGTTGCAGGGGTCGAGTGTGTGTGAGAGTGTTCGCACCTATGTTGACTGTTCTATATCACCCAAAGGAAGGTACAGGTTGGCCATCACTAATTCGACAATCAGTAATCTGGTTCCATCAGTAATCCGGCATTAATTTCGGCTAGCATAATTTAAAATTTCCGGGGTCGCCACACCAACCTGCTACTACCGTTTGGTGGTGCTACTTGCTGCATAAGTCATTCCAATTTCTTTTTTTCCATTTATTGTTATAACCTGGTCACTTTTATCCCTACCCATGGTTCCAGCGAATAAGAGAAATGCTTCTCGTTGTGTAAAGCACATACACCGCACCATTGTCCATAAAAGATAACGTGGCTTTGAAGCCACTGTCAGTCGCCATGCGCTCAGCTCACTCAGATAAGCTGTGAACGGTAAATTTGGGCCTACATCCTGCAGCACACAGTGCATAATGAGAAAAAACTGCAACTGTGTTGTGTAAAACAGTGACTTTGCGGTGTATTTTTGTATGGTTTTTTATGGTTTTATTCTCTTTTTTTTTTGGTCTCATTTAATAGAATGGAAGATATTGTCATGTAGGGGGGTAATGATTAGGGGAATATGGGGGTAAGCGGGGGGAGTCAGTAGGTAGGGGACAGGCGAGGTGGTAGGAGTGAGGTATGCGGAGGTAGGTAATGTGAGGTCACTGGTGACTACAACTTCACCTCTCATTACTCTACCCACCACTCCACACTACTCACCCTCTCACTACTTTAACAAAACATAAATAAATGGAGAAAATAATGGGGACAGTGAATATTATTATTCTACTCAAACACAGTTTATTATTAAGTCCTTGTACAATAGTATATTTGGGAACAGGAGAACATCATTGTGGTTTAGATAAATGGGATGGTATGTATAAGCAGTGAGACAGGGAACACAATCAACTTGACGAGAATGAATATAACTTACAATATAGTACAGAGGACAGTTCACTACAGGAACTAAGCCACAGGTCCCAAGACCTACACAGCACGAGTACTGCACCAAGCCAGTACTCTGCCCAATACCTCCAAGTCTCCTCCAGAGACTTCAGCAGCCTTCTCCCGAGCCCTGCACCCCAGCAGCAGCTCCGCTTGAAGTCTCTGCTCAGGAGCTCTGCACCCCAGCAGCAGCTCTGCTCGAATCTCCCTACTCAGCTCTTCCTTGGGCTTTTATGGTGGTCCAAGCACCCTCCACAACCACGTGTACGGCCTGACGCCTAGGTCTGACGCCGTCAAGAACAAAAGACCTCAGACGTGGGCGTGGCTACAGACGTTTGCCAAGGCAAGGTGTGACCATATAATTGGTTAAATTAGGTCTCCCCAGAGACCTCACAAGCCCAGCTGGACTACATCACAATATGTTACAGAAATAGATGTGATTTTGATTGGTTTCACGACAGAAAGTACAGTGGACCCTCGACCAACGGCTTTAATCCGTTCCAGAGAGCTAGCCTTTAGTCGAATTAGCCGTTAGTCAAATTAGTTTTCCCCATAAGAAATAATGAAAATCCAATTAATCTGTTCCAGACAGCCAAAAGTATTAAAAAATATAATTTTTTCTACATGAAATATACATTTCCTTACACACAAAACAATGAGACATGCCCAATGCATACATAGATAAATACTAAAATGACACTTACCTTTATTTATTTACTATAATTTTTACCAATGAATATATCATTGCTTAGTTAATCTTAAGTTAATTTTAA